CTCCATCTTTCTTTCGGGAGTATCATCAAGGGGTTCACTCAGCACCGGTTCATCCAGTGTTTACTTTCCAAGCTCGTTTTTATAACAAGAGGTCTCCTATTCTTCTCTCCGTGTTGGTTGATACAGGTTCGAGTTTATCTTCTATTGCTCAACCTGTTGCCACACGTTGTCGTCTACACTTGCGTCGTGCGGCGGATCCAGTTTTCATTCTTTATGGCAACGGCCGTACACATGCATGTGCACGAGATGAGGTGGACCTGGTTGTGCGTGTGGGCGATCTCGAGCTTGAGTTGCAGTCGTTGCGGGTGGTGCCGAGTCAAGCTTTTGACCTCATTCTTGGTATGGATTGGTTGCAGCACAATCATGCCAAGTGTGACTTTGAGGCTTTTCCCCCTTGTCTCATACTTCCTTATGTTTCATCCATTCCTCTCACTTCCATACCTCTTCGTCCCTCTACTTCTACCTCTGCTTCCATTACTTTTGTTCCCCCATTATTTCCTCTTGTGTTTCCATCTTATTCTGCTCTTCCCTTTTCCGATCCCTCCGATGATCTTTGTGTTGCAGCTGTTGACCAGCTCATGAAGGAGTATTCTGATCTCTTTGAATTTGACCTATCGTCTGGGGCCAAGATTGCCACACGTCATCCCATTCCAACCGGGGATGCTCGTCCAATCAAGGTTCCTGCTCGTCGTCGGTCACCCAAGGAGATCAAGATTTTACGTGCAAACATCAAGGAGATGTTGGAGAAGGGTGTTATTCGGAAGTCACGGAGTCCTTGGGCATGTGAACCTCATCTTGTGACGAAGCCTGATGGGAGTATTCATTTCTGCATCGACTATCGTCCGTTAAATGAAGTGACGATCCCGGACATGTACCCTCTTCCTCACACTGCTGATCTCTTGGATCATCTGGGGCGAAGTCGTTGGTTCACCAAGCTAGATCTTGCTTCTGGGTATTGGCAAGTACCGATGGCTGAAGACGATATTCCTAAGACTGCTTTTCGTACACCATTTGGTTTGTACGAGTTTTTGGTGATGCCATTTGGTTTGAACAATGCTCCAGCAACTTTTCAGCAGATGATGGACGAGGTTCTTTGCGATATGCTGGAGGTGACGGCTGACTTCATTGATGATGTCTTGATCCACTCGGAGGGGACGTGGGAGGAGCATGTTCGTGATGTTTGTAAAGTGTTGGATCGGTTACGCGACGTTGGTTTAAAGCTGAAGCGGTCGAAGTGCGTGTTTGGGTCCAAGGACACAACTTATCTTGGGTACCGTATTTCTCGTGAGGGTTTGCAAGTTGATCCTGACAAACTTGTGGCTGTTCTGAAGTTCCCTACTCCGAAGTGTGTGAATGATGTGCAGCGTTTTTTGGGTAAGGTGCAGTATCTCGGTTGTTTTGTGGATCATCTTTCTGATCGCACTTTACCATTGCGAGCGTTGCTGAAGTCATCAACGTCATCTTTCATCTGGTCTCCCGATTGTGAGCGAGCGTTCATGAATCTCAAAGAGCTATTGACGACTCCTTTGGTTTTGGCATATCCTGACTACACTCGACCTTTTATTTTGCGCGTGGATGCTTCTGACATTGGTCTTGGAGGTGTGTTGATGCAAGAGAGCTCGAGTGTGCTTGGTCAGCACCATCCCATTGCATACATAAGCCGTACATTACAACCAGCGGAGATGAACTACTTCACGACGGAGAAGGAGTGTTTAGCAGCAGTCTGGGGTTTCGAGAAACTTCATGCCTATCTACATGGTTCTCGGACGTTACTTGAAGGTGACCATGCTGTTGTTACTTCATTATTGAAGCGGAAGAACCTGGTTGGTCGTACGGCTCGATGGGCTTTGAAGCTTCAGATATATAATTTCGATGTTGTTCATCGCCCAGGGAGTTCTATGGCTGATGCTGACGCCCTTTCTCGAGCTCCTCTTCCTTCTCCACTCACTTCTCATGTTTCTGACGAACCTGTTGTTCCAGCATCTGTGGATTTTCTAGATGAGGATTCTGTGCCGTCGGCGGTTGCTGTCCTTGACGTTCAGTGTCCACAGGGCGTAGAGCAAGATCTACCTTCTCTGGATGAGGTTCGCGAGGCTCAAAAGATTGAGCCGTGGATTCGAAGGCTTCGAGATGGGTTTGAGAATCCTGCATCACTTGCTGATGACTTGCCTTTTTAGCATTTACATTCTCAATATCGCCTTGAAGATGGCCTTCTTTATTTTGTGGGGACGGATCCTGATGCTCATTTACGGCTGGTGGTGCCTTCGGTGTTTATTCCGCGGTTTCTCCATGCCTACCATGATTCTCCTATTCTAGGTGGGCATATGGGACACCGTCGTGTCACCGAGAAGCTGCGCAGATCTTTCTATTGGCCATAGATGCGACGTGATATTATCCGGTATGTGCGTAGCTGCGTTTGGTGCCAAGCTCGTAATACTCCCCCTTGTGCTGCGGAAGGACGGTTGGAGTCAATTGCAGTTTCTCGTCCGTTTGAGTTGGTGGTATTTGATCTTATGGGACCTTTTCCGCGATCGACTGCTGGCAATGAGTATGTTATTATTGCTTCTAACTACTTGACTCGTTGGGTGGAAGTTGGTGCTCTTGCTAGTGCCTCTACAACTGCTGTTGGATACTTCCTCCTCAATCGAGTGGTGTTCCAGCATTCTTGTCCAGAACGGATTCTTTCGGATAATGGTCCTGCATTTATGGCTGAGGTATTTCATGTTTTGACATCTCGGTTGGGGATACGCCACACTTTTACGAGTGCTTATCATCCATAATCAGACGGTCTGGTGGAACGGCTCGTTCGGACATTCAAAGGGATGATTGTGAAGTATGTGAACTTTCAACATTCGGATTGGGATGGTTATTTGCCGTCTCTTCGGTATGCTTATGTCACAGGGGTGCAGAGTTCTGTTGGTGCTTCACCATATAAACTTCTATATGGTCATGATCCAATATTACCAACAGAGCTGGGTTTACCTTCGCGATTGCCACGAGCTCCTGATGTTAGGTCATGGGATCAATATTTGACAAGCATTCTTCCACTTGTCCAAGCAGAGTCTGCTGAACACTTAGGCCGCGTACAAGTGGGACAACAACGGCGCTACAATTCCTATCATCGTCCACCAGCGGAGTACAAAGTGGATGATTTGGTGTTAGTCTGTTTTCCCCATCTTACGGTACGTGGTTTATCTAAGGGGCTCCTTGCGCAGTGGAAAGGACCGTATCGGGTGTTGCGGCAAGTTGGACCACAAGTTTATGAAGTTCGGCATGACGTTCAGCAGATCGATCCTCCGGAGATTGTGCATGTGCAGCGGTTAAAACGCTTCATACAAAGGGATCAGGAGCAATTAATACCGTCTACAGATCCACCGATGCCTCCTCCTGACGTTCCTCCAGATCCCGGCCCATCTACAAGAGAACCCTGACGGCCTTCCATTATTCCGAGAGGAGGGGATGATGTGAGGGCCAAGTGTACGGCTACGATGCCGTATACTAATATTAGCGTAGTGGATTTTGGTAGTCGTCGGATTGGTTTCAATCCGGACCACTCGCTCCTGTATATAAGCTAGGGTTTTTGGGTTAATGGATATGCACATTTCTGTATTCCCTTTCCATATTCCATACACTCACAATTCTAGAAGCTAGTTCTATATACTAATATGAAATTTGTGATTATTTATTTGATTTCAGGTAATAATTGATACTAATTCTATAAATAATCTTTGTAAATTGCAACACTATTTTATAGTATAATTTTAAAATTAAATATTTATTTTATTTAGTGATATTAATTATAAATTTTTATTAATTTATAAAAATAAGAATATTCTAAATATTAATAAATAGTAATAAATATATTTATTTATAAGCAAGTAAAACAAAATCTTTTTATAAAGATTGCAAATATACAAGTATAGCTAATGGCACTCTAACAATTTAGAAATTAGATCCAACTCATAAACTTGAAATTCCAAAAACTTTTAAAATCAAGAGTAAGAATGAATTTAATGAGTATTTATATTTAAAACTTAGAAATATTTTCAAATTATTGTGGATTTTTATATATCAGATTTTAATTAATAATTTGTTATATATAAGATTATTTAGGATTTTTTATATATAATATTTAAAATATAGACATATCATCATTGTTTATAAAGAAAGTTATTTTGACAGTACATGATTCACTTTAATTAATTGAATTAAAGTAATTATATATATATATATATATATATATATATATATATATATATATATATATATATAGATATTAGAAATACAGTCTTATGCTATGAATTTTTATTTTTATTTAATTTTCTTTCTATAATATACATATATAATATAATATTTCTTTTTCTTCTATATTTACATACTTATTTTAAAATTTAGGTCTATCATATTTTGAAATTTTTAAAATACTTAAAATATAATTCTGTACTTTAAAATGTTAAGAAACTAAGACATGCATAAAATAGTTAAAATGATTGTAGAGTCTTTCCTTTAAATGATAATGATTAATTTAAAACTATTAACTATATAATACATTGAGGTTTTATATTAAAAAATTCGACCAAAGTATGTTTATCATGTTTGTAACAACCTTTAAATGACCACAAATTCCATCCATACCATTGTTCGTTTTCATATTTTGCTGAACATTCAAATACTATTACTTTATAGTATATATGATTAATAGTAAAATTTATATTTTCTAATGCAGGATTTGGATTTTGTAATTATTTAAATTTTTGTGATAACTGATGGATAAAAAAAATCACATCTTCACCATGTTTAGCACTATAGTAGCTTAAATTACATGTCATATGTACACTTGGTTCATTAGAGTTACAGTCAAATTTAAAATTATAACAACTAGAGAAATAATCTATTATATAGAAAATTAGAATATAAATTTTCTTATTGTATACCTAAAAAGGACCTAAATACTTATTTTATTCCTAAAAAAGGAGAAGTGCTTTGCAATGCTCATATCATTAACAAAAATTTTCATTGTAAATGAAAGAAAAACAATTTCCATCCATCCATCAATGATCACTTTTGGATTTGTACCTTTACCTTCCTGCCAAAGTTGCCAGATCAATGCAGTCAGGAAACAAAAAAGAAAAGTGTTTTTACTATTACAACTACCTGGCCACAAAATAACTTTTGTTTCTATGCTCGTTTGAAATATTTAGTACCAGTGGTTGTGGCTCTGAACCACTGTCGTAGCTATTTGAAGATCAAATGTTCTTTGATCACTGTTCTTCAGGACCAAGAGCAAAGAAGTTGATCAAGCCTCTAAACACTTGTCCACCAAGTTTATTAGCAGCCAAGATTTCCCCATCAACGTTCCATACACTCTCGTCTCCATGGGCCACAAATGTAAAAAGTGGCGTCTGCGCAAGAGAGGAAGATACTTAGGCAGCAAACAAAAGAAACAAAGTGATAAACCTTGTGAAGCTCTATAAAATCCAAACCCAGGGGATTTCCTCCTCTCCTCGTCAGCTGTATCAAGTGCCTACGAAGAAACCAGAAAGTTCAAACGCATTGGAAGAAGAAAAAGCTTACTTACATAAGATAGGCTGGTCGAGAACACTGTTTTACGAGAACCAGATGCAAAAGCCCGTCTGCAAGGTGAGCATGAGCCACCACTCCATCCGGGGCTTTGTCATTTCGACAAGACATTATCGCGGCTCCCACGCTATGGAAGAAAGCTCTTTTTGTGATCCACAGAAGCTGGCCTACATCCTCTGGCAAACTGTGTTCCTTGGCACAAACTCGACAATGGACGCAGCAAATGCTCTGCGACACATTCGGAACATCTAGATACGACACTTCAGCTTCATACTTTCTGCATCAACAGCCAAATTGGAAATCTATGTCGTGCTTGAGATTTCTCACTACCTGTGTCGCATAAAAACTTTGGTTCCGGCGTAGTCATAACGAGAAGGTCCCATCCATCGCAAAGATTCGCTTTCTCGGGCTACATCCCCGTAAAAGCCATACCTGGAAATCAGTAGAACCAAATACATCAGCCTGATAAGAAGACGAGCTAAGCTATCAACAAACCCAGAAAACGATGCTGCGTAACGTATCACCGGAGCCTCGGGTTGTTTAGATTCTTTCCAGCCAGTCAGACGAACAATGTCCAGTGGCATGCTATCACCAAGAATGATATGAAGTGCAGCAGTCACTGGATCGCGTGTGCCTGTTGTGCTACAGCAACGAAAACTTGACGTCAACAAAACCTTGACAAATAGACAGTTACCTCACGACAATTGTGTCCGTAGAGCCAGCAGGTATAATTCCAAATCGGAGCCATGGAACTAATGGAGCAAATTTGCAAGAGTTTGACAGTGCATGTACCAAAAGAGGTTCTACAAAGACAACGATAAAACATTATTCACACTCACGCAAAACAACATATACGAACCAGATAGAATCGAAGAACCGGTTTCCGAACAAAGACGTGACTCGTCTAACAGTGCCGCTTCTTCTTCTGCCTTAGGAGATTGAGACCTATGAGAAGTTATTAACTGCGAAATTTGATGAGCTGTAAGCACGCTGGAAGCTTGATGCCTTTTCAAGGCTAAACCATTTATGACCTCGTTAAAAATCCCATCCCCACCCTGGAAGAATAGTCAGCGACGAAAAACTGGGCATTTTCAACACTTACCACCATAACAATCCCGTCATGGCATTTTAGCTCATCGTCTGTTGCATTGTACATCATCTCATATGCATGGCCAGCTCTCTCGGTCGTCACAACCTGGTAGAAACGGCGGATTAAGCGTGAACAGTCAGAGACAATGAAAGTAAAACCGTGCTCAGCACTTACTTATTATACCTTCGTCTTTATCCCCGCGCGACTGAAAAGCGGAGAAACCATTGCCCATTTGCTAGAAGCAATGCCTTTGCCACCATAAGGATTGATAAGCACCTGTAACGTGAAACATCAAAAAAGACGCAAAAAGAAGCAGCGATCGTACCAGCAGATCCTTAGGCCGCTTATGGTCCTTGCTCAGCAAGTTATGCAAGCACTTAACCCATCTGTGGCAAACTTCCAGCTCCGGGTGAGCAAAATCGTAAGTTCTAGGCAGCCACTTACTTCTGCTATTGCGTAACCTTTGGAATGAATGTATGGAGAATCGATGCATCTGCGCAAAACAAGACGTCCTGTGAGTTCACAGACAAAAGAAAGAACTTTTCCTACTCGAATCACCGGCTTCAAGAGACGATGAACTGCCGAAGCTCCCACAAATTTTCGCACGGGTCCCCATCCAAAACTCTCGACACCATAGATTTCCGAGAGAGGGAACTCATGCGGCAAGCTCGCGAGTCGAAAGCACGACAATGAAAAGGACTCCTGGATCATCATCGAATAAAGAAAACAAGCAAAGCATGAGAAGAAGAAAGAACAACGAATACAAAAAAGAATATAATACCAACTTGTCTTCCATGCTTTTGCTCTGCCACACAAGACTCCTCTCCGAGAGCGTGACGGTAACGAGCCCGATATGATCCAAATGGAGGTCCGATTCAAGCAAAACATCCCCGCTGTCCGACGGATTCTCCACAACCCGGTCCTGGAGAATGCTCTCTTGAATGCTGTGATACCTCTGGACCTCCATGGGCGTCAATTCCACCAGCGAGTTCCAGGCGCCCGCAAGATTCATCCCTGGAATCGATCCATTCCTTGCTCGATCGCCGGCGCTAGCGCGCAATCCATACCTCACCTGGAATCGATCGATCGCCAGACCTAGCGCGCAATCCACTCTTCCCTCTCTCTTGCCCTAGATCGCGAAAAAGAGAAGAGCTTCCCTTTTTTTAATTTCTTGGAGGAAATTACGAGGAACTATGAATGGTTAACGAGGCAAAACGGGTGCCGACCACCTGGAATGAGCCTCTACCGTACGATGGCTACCGTACCGGCGGCGCTGATTCCACGAGCCGGGAGCCTTTTAGGGCGAGCAGCACGACGAGCCCCTAGGCGTCAGTGATCCCTTTGATTTCTCTCCTCCTCCTTGGATCCTTTTCTCCGCCCTCTCCACTCCATCCCTCGAAGAATCCAGCCCCCGCCCCGGCGCTCTCCTCCGATGTTTCGATCGGCCGTCAAGGCCTTGGCAGATCGGCGCGGGGGCAGCGCCGCCGTGAGCAGCAGCTCCTTGTGCTCCAATGCCTCGATCGCATTCGCCACCCCGGGCAATCTCTCCAGGTACCTCCTCCCCACGATATTTCGCGATTCCTTCTCCTCGGCGGCGCTCCCGGCGGTGGATCTCGACGCGACCCCGATCGACAGAGCGCCGGAGCACGACGCCAAATCCAAGGGCGGCGGCGCCGCCTCCAGCTCCGCCAAAAGGCCCGCCTTCACGGAGCTTGTGGCGACCAAGAAGGGCCAAAAGCCGCGAGTGGTGGTGCTGGGCACGGGCTGGGCGGCGTGCCGTCTACTCAAGGATCTCAACACCGACGTCTACGACGTGGTTTGCATCTCGCCCAGGAACCATATGGTTTTCACGCCGCTCCTGGCATCGACATGCGTCGGGACGCTGGAATTTCGATCGGTCTCGGAGCCCGTTCGAAGCATCCAGCCGGCGCTCTCCAGGTCCCCGGATTCCTACTACTTCCACGCCTACTGCACCAGCATAGATCCCATGAACCACGCGGTAAGAACAGCTCAAAGAGATGACAAACTTTGTGTTGTCATCGATCGATCAAATCTCTTCTTTGGATCTTTGGTGGAAGTTCCAACGTTTCGTTTGTCTCCTACGCAGGTATACTGCGAAGCTCTGGATGACGAAGGCGTGACCGAAGGGAACTGGAAGTTTAAAGTTTGCTACGACAAGCTGGTGATCGCGTCCGGGGCCGAGCCTTCCACTTTTGGGATCAAGGGCGTGAACGAGTACGCCACTTTTCTGCGAGAAGTTCCTCATGCCAGAGACATCCGCCGGCGTCTTCTTCTCAATCTGATGCTCTCTGATATTCCTGGTATGGCTAGCTTTTCGTTTTCTTCTGCTTCTTTCGACATGCCAACCTGGTTTTCTCGCAGGTGTTCCGATCGAAGAGAAAGAGAGGCTTTTGCATTGTGTTGTTGTTGGCGGCGGTCCTACGGGCGTTGAGTTCAGCGGTGAGCTGAGCGATTTCATTAGACGCGACGTGCACGAGAAGTATTCCCATGTCAAGGAATACGTTCATGTCACTCTCATTGAGGTATGGAGCTTTTCCTCGGTTTGTGGTCACGGTTTTTAAATGGTACTTCATATCATGCAGGCGAATGAGATCCTGTCGTCATTCGATGTTCGATTGAGGCAATATGCCGTGAATCATTTAAGCAAGGTGTGTAGTCATCTCTCTTTTCACTTCTGAGCTGCTTGGTCGTGCAGTCCGGCGTAAAACTTCTCAGAGGAGTTGTGAAGGAAGTATTCGCCGACAGGCTGATTCTCAACGATGGGTCAACAGTCCCATATGGTGTACTAGTGTGGTCGACCGGGGTTGGGCCTTCAAATTTCGTGAAGAAGCTCGAGTTTGAGAAATCTCCTGGTGGAAGGTGAGTGGTGATCCTGCTCTTCGTAGCTCTCTTTTTATGACGGTTTTGATGATCCCAGAATTGGAGTTGACGAGTATATGCGAGTTCCTCAGTTCGAGGACATCTACGCCATTGGAGATTGTGCTGGGTATCTCAAGTCGACAGGAAAGCCCATCCTCCCTGCTCTAGCTCAAGTAAGCTGGCCTACTGTTTTTTCTTTCTTCTTTTTCTCTAAAGCGCTGTGTGTGTCTACTGCAGGTTGCTGAAAGACAAGGGAAGTACTTGGGTGCCGCGTTGAATTCCTTGGCACTGGCTGGTGGTGGCCGAGCAGGGGCGGCTAAAACCACCAAGCTTGGCGAGCCTTTCGTGTACAGACATCTTGGGAGTATGGCGAGTGTGGGTCGATACAAAGCGCTGGTTGATTTGCGTGAGAATAAGGTGAGAAGAGCTTTGATCTTTAATAGTTGAGGTAACAAATGATGTTTTCTGATTGATAGGATGCTAAAGGGCTTTCTTGGGCTGGTATTTTGAGTTGGTTGGTGTGGAGATCAGCATACTTAACTCGAGTTGTAAGTTGGAGAAATCGTTTTTACGTTGCTGTCAACTGGGCAACAACATTTGTGTTTGGACGAGACATTTCAAGATTTTAAGGGTCTTTTTTAATTTTTTAATTTTTTAATTTTTGTAGTTTAGGGAGTAGTTTGTAACGTAACTTTTATTCTTTTTTAAATAAAATAAAACATATTTAAAGTTTTATGCCATTTCTTTAATTTTAGATATTTACATTATTATTAATAATTCTTAAGTTGGTTATAAAAACTTTCTCATACCTTTTGTAAACACCATCATAGAAATTATATATCATGAGAATTTTATATTTGTTTTTGTTGTAATAAATCTTTATGCTCTTTATGTTTGTTGCATTTCTTTGTGTTATAGATAAAAATTTATGTGCTTATTTTTTTTATTTTTTTTATTATATTCTTTTTAGTAGAAACTTTTATATAATTTTATTTCAATGTTCAAAAATAATATAAAATAAACTAACCAAGTGAAAGTCCATGTAAAAGGGCTAATGAATTTTACAAGACTTCACAAATAACATATTGTTACAATATTTATTTTTATTAATATAGTGTTTGACTCATATAAAAATATGTTAGATTCACTTTTTTAGTACTCATATCACATGAAATCTTTTTGTAATTTTGGACTATTATAACTATAATAAGTAGTTCAAATATAATGAGTTTAAATTAATGATGTTAGTAATTTACAAAATATACAACTTATTTAAGATATATATTTTTTCTAAAAATAGTAAAAATGAACTCTTTCACTTTAATACTTTACTTTAACCAAATTATATATTTCTGTATAACTTTTATTCAAAAAAATAAATAAATTAGGTTTGGGATTTATTTAGTGAGGAAGTAAAATTATATAAGTTATTTATCTACGTATTTAGGAATAAATTTCTATTAAAATTTTGGTAAAAGCCATATGAATAGCTTTAAGATTATAGTAGTCTTATATAAATTAAATAAGCATGAATGTAAATTATACATCACATTATTTTATTAGAAATGTATTAAATATATTATCTTTCCCAAGTAATTTTATATTTTATATTTAATTTTAAGTAATATTCTCTATCAAATATACAATATTGCAATTTTTTATTGATAATATAAAAGAAATAAAACATACTTTTATTGGAATAAGATTTAGATTTTTATCAATTTCTTTCTTATTTCTAGATTGATGCCAAAAAGTATATATATCAGAAAAAGTTTACAAATATTTTTATTTATATTGATATTATCCACTTTACATTTTATAAAAAAATCAAAAATAATTTATATAATTAATTTTAACATATATATTGTGAAGAGCTTTGGAATGTTGATATCATATGCTTTCTTCATAATCTTTGAAAATTTATAGAATCCAACTTCATATCTTAAAGTTATGCTATGTTTAATTAAATATTTGAATTATATATTATATCTTTTAAATTAAATTTTATCTATATAACTTATCATAGGTTTGCGAAAAGAAAAAACTAAAGAACACTTATATGAAGAAATTCATCATCTACTCAAACTGCCCCAGAAAAAAAAAAGAAAAAAAGAGTGTAGTGACAAATATCCAAGCACTCCGTACTCATCAATCTCTCATCTGAAAAAGCAAAACCTCTAAAACTCCATCTCAAGCTTGCTTTCAACACCTCTGGTGGCCTTCAGGAGATGCACATGCTCCTGGAGTGTGATGATATGTTTGTTTTCGTCCATGGATCTGCCTGAGAACAGATTTGAGCCTCCGAAGGAACAGCGAAGAACATGGTTACTACCACAGGAGTAGTGGTAACTTTAAAACACACCTCACAGGTATGAAAGCTGCATCCAGTGTATATGCTCCGAGGCGATCGCCACATATGCATTCTCCTCCTGTATGCGCTCCTGGAAACACATCGTACACAAGTTCGTGTACTTCCACAAGAAACTCACCTTGTGAAAATGAAACAGAACTTCTTCCTCGCTTTCAGGAACTACTAGCATCGCACGAATGCTGGTAAATGGGCTTAAAGCTTATGCATGGGATAACTTTTGCACTGGCACACCCGACAGTATAAATCCATCTCGTGAACCAGCACCACCATGCTATTAAGCCTCGTGTATAAGAACACCTCAAATTCCAAGGACATACTGGACGAGATGACGCGATTCAAATAGTTCTCGGCCTAGAACCCATGAGTTAGAGAGAGAGAGAGAGAGAGAGAGAGAGAGAGAGAGAGAGAGAGAGAGAGAGAGAGAGAGAGAGAGAGAGCATATATCTAATCCTTAAGATTGAAAATCTTACTCGGAGACATGCCTTCTCGATCAATCCTTGTGAACGAAAGAGCCATTAGAACTTCTTGCGTGGAAGTGCGTCATTGTATACATAAAAAACGAAACGCCACTCTCTAAAAAGCACTTAGACGATTCTATCAGCGTAATGTATGAACGATTGGTGGCTGGACGTAAAAAACTGGACAATGCGCCTGGGCAATCTCAGACAGGCTTGCCAGTGCGGGCTAAGCAGCGGGTCGAATGGGCCTTCTACAGCTACTTAAAAGGGCAAAGATGGTGGTGAATATATTTCGCTAGGATGCGCTAGTATACGCTCTGTACAATATAGTTTATTCCAATTTTCTCCACAGAAACGCAGCTTCGTCTGGACGACAACACCGGTAATGTGCTGTATGTATCCACGAAGGCCAGACCAAATATTTTCCAGCCTGTGCGGACAATTCAAGCCCTTGGGGTTGTTGCTTGCTGGCTACCACAACGTGTGTCACCGTATCATCTATATCGACTACGCATTCAGCTCCCAACTCCTGGCAAGAATCCCACAACAGCTCATGAGCTGCTTGGCTTTTGGCGCATATCACGATCTTGCAACCCGAGAGTGCATGCCCTTTGACCTCTCTCATTGTTTGTCGAACATCCCCCGCAAAGCATCCAGATTCTTGGAAGAACTCGCTGTGAATCCTCTTCAGCCCCTCCAAGAGTTTTGCGAGCGTGGCCTTCGTCGCCACCTCATCCTTCTTCTTGCTTGTCAAGCTAGAGCTTTCACGTAGGCCAAACAAACCGGTGCTTGATCGAAAGAAAAGGTATCGATCGTAGACAGGGATCAAGTTCTTGTGATGCTTCTTGGGCCAAACACAATCGCTATCATCCACGATCAGCGTGATCGATTCATCCCCCGGTACAGTATCCAAGTCTTTCATCGCCTTCATACAGTTGTGATCCCTGGAGAAAATATGGCCCTTGAACAAGCTTCCAGTCGGATCCAACAGCTTAGCCATGGTCTCGGCATAGATCTCACGCCCATTGGTGTATATGTGCAAATCAAAGAATTTGCTAGCTTCCTCAAGAAACTTAAAGGCGAATGGCCGAATCTTGGTCCATACCTGCAGGCTCTCTACCTTGTGAAGGAGCTTCCTTCTCTTGGGTGCTTTCTCTTGCCAATCATAGATTTTCTCGAGATACAAGCGTTCTTCCTCATCGACCTTTGAGAACGAAGCGGAATTGAGCAGTGTGTGATCCAGATCTAACACAAGGATTAGTTTTTGCTGCTGTAGAACCTTCTGGGTGTACTCTTTCCGCAGCTGTGCATCGAAATCTTCTTCTTCTTCTCCGCCTTCAAACTCGCTCCTCCCTCTCTTCCTTGACGCCATGTCGAGAAAACCTAAATCACCCTTTTGGCTCGTCACTTATATAGTGAAGGATAGAGAACGAATATTCCTGCCTGTGAAGAACCCTAATTTATGGCGTCTAGCTCTACCGCCAACGACAGCGAGGACGAAGAGATTTGTGGTGAGCATTCATTTCCATTCCATGGCGCTTGTTCTTGAGGATCTCGTGATTTTCAGACACGATGGTTGCCATTCAGCTGATGCTCGCGCAATTCCCAAAGCTAGAACAGGTAACTTTTCTTTGTTCTTTCTCCCAATTGGAGTTTCTCTTTGGTGCTTGCTCTGTAAGTGGAACTTGCGGCCATTTGTGCTGCGTACGCAGCTCTACAGTAGTGTCAAGGACCGAACTACAGTGGATAAAGAACTGGAGGTACTCTTGGAAATCTTTTACTAGTTTTTGTCACTCTCCTCTTTTTTTCTGCTGGATCCAGGCATTGAAGCAGCAGCAAGTGGTCCGAATGTTCAAGCTCAATTCGGGGCGAGATGATTTTGCAGTGATGCTGCTGGAGGATTATGTCTCTCAGGTTGTAGGTAATCACTTCTCTCATCTCTGCATGGAATGGGTGGCTAGTTCTCAAGTTCTTTTCTATTTCTTCTTCTTGCACAGATCGATGCTGCTAAGCAGAGAATGGAAAGCAAGCATTCTTCTGATACAACCATCGTTTTCGACTGGTTTCAAAACTACGTTCTTGGATCGAGCCCGGATTTGTCAATCTCAAACTCCCACCTGGTATGAAACCTTTGTTTTCTCATTCTCGTTTTCACAGCTAGTTTATCTCAGGTTTCTCTCCTCTCGCGAGGTGGGAAAACAACTGATAAGCAAATCTCCGTGCTCATCAATGCTGGATTTCTGGTGCGTGCTCTTTACAATCTGTTTTTCTCTCGATGAAAAGTTTGGTGTCATTCAAAACAGGTGAGACAAATGTCCGATTCAGAAGACTATTGGTTTTCCATACCTGGAATTGGATGGGCGATGAAGAACTTGACACAGGTATAGTCTCTATAACGTTTTGAAAACTTCTTTTTGGTTCTTCTCTTAACAATCTTTGTGTTTTCCCAGGGAAGGAAAGAGGTGACTCAATTGCTGCGCAAGCGGCAGTCCAAAGAGGCCTTGCTATCAGTCTTGGAGAAGCGGAAGCTTCGAAGCTCAAGCCTGGGAATGCGGTTTCACTTGAGAGATTTACTGGGTTCCAGCGTCCTGGTATCTGTGGAGACAACCTCTGGAGCTCTCATTCGTCTTGCAAAGCGATAAAAACCAAACTTTGCGAGCTCAAAACCAGTCTTTGCGAGCTCAAGAACCGATCTTTGCGAGCTCAAAAACCAATCTTTTGCAAGCGTTGGCACCATTTCCAACCAAAAGTTTAGTTTTTTACAGAGCAATGCGCTGCATTGCAAATGTTTCTATGCATTTAATGGCGGTGGGTCGCCAAAGAAACAAAGCTTTTCATTCCCTGACCTCGGCAAAAATCAGTTATTTTTCACACCAAACTTCCTCCTTTTCTTCTTTCCTTCTTTCTTCTCCGTGCCTTCTTTCTTTCTCCTTGGTTTGTTTACAAGGGCGATTGCTGCGCTGCGAAGCCGTCCACTTTGTCTCGTTGCCTTTAATTCAGTCATCGTCTGCTTGTGCTACGCCGTCACGCCCAGTTGTTACTCACTCTCCATCGCCAAGCTTTTTCTCCACTGGTCTCTCGTCTTTAAACTCGTTTCAGAGTCTCCCTGTCACAGCTGCGCTGCTCGTTTTCTCTCCCCCTCCACCGATCAAGCTCTCTCCTCCTCTTTCCTCCTCTTCGATTCCTTCCTTTCATGCCGAGAGCTTGAATGCCTCCACCACCACCGTGCTGCGCTCCTCCACACAACCTGGTATGCAGCACATTTGCATTTAAAGTCAGTCAGCCGAGCGAGTAAGATGGCAGCGATGAGTAGCAGCAATAGCAACAGCAACAGCGTACCTCATGGAAGCCACGCTCGGACGGAGAGAAGCGCTGCTCAAACCAACACCATGGGAATGCTGAGCCCCCTCAGCTTGAGCCTGTGGAAGAACAAGACCGGGGACGAGGAGACCGACATATCTGCGCGGCTTACTTGGAGAGATCTCTTCGTCTCGGCCACCAATGCGAAGGGAGAGACGCGCTCGCTGCTCCACGGTCTCAATGGATACGCCGAGCCGGGATATCTCATGGCCGTCATGGGGCCGTCTGGATCCGGAAAGTCGACGTTACTGGACGCTCTAGCAGGTTTGCAAGCTTCGTCTTTTGATATCTTGATCGAGGCCGATCTGTGGCAGGGAGGCTGGCCAAGAACACGACGCAGAGTGGAGAAGTCCTGCTCAATGGAAGGCGGACTCGCTTGTCATACGGCATCGTTGTGAGTTCCCGGTTTCTCACTCCTATATTTTAAGAAAATTCCCCGTCTTCTCGAGACTTACGATATGTTTCTCCCTGTCCCAGGCATTCGTGACTCAAGATGATGCGCTGATAGGAACTCTGACGGTGAAGGAAACCATCACGTACTCGGCTAAATTGCGTCTCCCAGATCTCATGCCCCGGAAAGATAAGAAGGCCATTGTCGAGAGCACTATCATGGAGATGGGACTCCAAGAGTGCCAGAACACTCCCGTTGGAAACTGGCACCTTCGAGGCCTCAGTGGAGGAGAGAAGCGGCGGCTGAGCATCGGTCTGGAAATTCTCACTCGTCCTCGTTTGCTGTTCCTCGATGAACCCACCAGCGGCCTCGACAGGTTGGTTGCAAGTTCTTAGCCTGCTAAACATTCCTGTTCCATCTTGGATGCAGTGCCTCGGCCTTCTTCGTCACCCAGACACTCAAGAACCTGGCCAGGGACGGAAGGACTGTCATAGCTTCCATCCATCAGCCCAGCAGCGAGGTTTTCGAGCTCTTCGACCGACTGTACTTGTTATCTCACGGGAAAACCATCTACTTTGGTGATGCCCCTGCTGCTAAAGAGGTAACGCAGTAAGTTCTTCTTCCCTAGGTTCTCTAAGTCCGAAGTTTCCTGATAGTTCTTCGCCTCCGCTGGATTCCCCTGTCCACCTCTTCGAAACCCCTCTGACCATTACCTCCGAGCAATCAACTCAGACTTTGATCGAGTCAAGGACGCTCTGAGAAATTCCTTTGTGGCCAAGGTAAGTTAGCTGTGACCATAAAAATCCATCTTTTCGACCGCGTTGATGCTGCTACTTCGCAGGACATGGAGTCGGCCGATGTCCTTGACAAAACCTCCACCGCACAAGTCATCAAGATCTTGATCGACCACTACCAGTCTTCAGAGCACGCAATGCTGACAGCGTCCAAAATCCACGAGATTAACCAAACGGTGAGCAGAACTTTCCATCTTCCTCCTCCACCTTAGCTGAAACAAGTGCCCCGGCCAGAAAGGAGTAGCTTTGGAGTCGGAAGGGAGCCAAGCGAGCTTCTTCATGCAGTCGTTCACGCTAACCCGCCGATCGTTCGTCAACATGTCTCGAGATATGGGCTACTACTGGCTTCGACTTGTCATCTACATCATCCTGGCCATCGGGATCGGTACGCTGTACTATGACATCGGCACCAGCTATAGCTCTATCATGGTAACAGCCCCTCCACTTCCATCATCTCGTCCCTGTGCTAACTCCAAGACTGTTTTGTTGAAGGCCAGAGCTGCTTGTATGTCTTTTGTTGGAGGCTTCCTGATCTTCATGTCCATTGGAGGCTTCCCGTCGTTCATCGAAGACATGAAGGTCTGTTCTTCTCTTTCATGTTCTAGTTTCCGATCGTCCACGGTGATATATGCTTGGTTATGTCTCAGGTCTTCTCTCGTGAGAGGCTGAATGGACACTACGGCGTCGTCGCGTTCGTCGTTGGAAACACCCTCTCGTCGCTACCGTTTCTCTTTCTCATAGCACTGGTGTCCGGGGCTATCACATACAACATGGTGAAGCTCCACCCGGGATTCATTCGCTTCTCGTACTTTGTGTTGAACCTTTTCGCGGCTGTCGCAGCTGTCGAGAGTCTGATGATGGCTGTGGCAAGTCTCGTCCCAAACTTCCTCATGGGGATCATTACGGGTGCCGGCATCCAGGTACGCTCGGCTTGCAACATCTGGCCTGGTGACATTCTTTCGCTTGCTCTGACTTCTTGATGACAGGGTATCTTTCTGCTCGTTGCGGGATTTTTCCGTTTGCCAGGTGACTTGCCAAAGGCGTTCTGGAAGTTCCCGTTGTCCTACATTGGTTTCCACATGTATTCGTTGCAGGTAGCCTTTCATGCTTCTCTCTGCTCCCCCGAAAGCTGAACGAGAATTTTAATGTGCCTGGCAGGGAAACTTTGAAAACGACTTTCTCGGCTTGAACTTTGAAAACAAATTTCCAGGCTTACCAAAGATTCCAGGAAAATTTATTCTTCAGGACGTTTATGAGATACCAGTCGGCCGCTCGAAATGGTGGAACCTCGCAGTGGTGTTTTTGATGATTATAGTCTACAGGTTCTTGTTCTTCCTTGCCATCAAGTACAGTGAGAGCGTTCAGCCATGGCTTCAAGGCATCATGGCTAAGCGGCGGGCAAGATTTTTGTCATCCAATCACCTTACTCGTAAGAACTCGGCGCTCCAGAACACGATCAGGCCGGTTGTCCAGCAGTCTCCACTGAGAGAGCCTGCCACAGCAACAAGTTAGTCAAGAAAGAAGGAGAGATTCTAAGGAGATAAAACCATACCCGACTTAAAATACACACGGAGTCAAACAGCGATCCTCCAACATCTCTTGTTTCGGATCAGTGGAGTGGAGGGCTCATCCTGTCTTGTTTGGTGAATCAAAGACGGTGGACTGGAGAATCAAAGCTTGCATATATTGTACTGGTAGCTGAGAGATAATGGAGCATCCTCGTGTCCCACACGGAGCAATCTAAAGAAAAACACAAGCATGAGTCCAAAAAGGCAAAGGTGAAAAGCACAAGCATTTTGCTAGCACGACGAAACCACCCATGTGGGAGGGAATAAATTCGCGATGTAGTGTAAAATGCGACTGGTACTCGACAGTTAAACCAGGTGGCAAGCCAAAAGGTTGAAGGAGGGGTGAAAAAATAAACCAGAAGATCCGTGAAATGAATGACTACCACTGACCTTTTGGGAGGCAACTTTTGCGTTACAAGGGATGGAATTAAATGCATCCAGCGAGAAGAGAACGACCTGAGCTGCTACTTTTTCTGTGAGTTCTTCGGAGAAGCTGGGCTGCAATAAAATAAGAACTTTCATGTGAGCGAGCACTCAAACTCATCCATCAAATCAAACTCGAGCTACCGATCGACCAAACAAGATGCATACCGACGATTATCAATCAGCTAATAACTACGAAGTTGAAAAGCAAACAGGTTAACGAAAAAGGAACAACTGGCAAGCAAAGAGCAAAATAAATGAATTTCACCGGACAAAGATCGCTTTTCTGCCAGCACAGATGAACACGTTGCTGCAAGGTACATAAATGTGAAAGGAGCACAAGGATTGGAAAAACTTTCCTACGGCTTTACTTACCTACGCTTCGTTGGCTTTTAGAAATACAGGGTGCTGCAAGAAGCTAATGAACCACTTCTACATCTCGCGGAAGTGTATTCGAGGTCGGAGTAAATTCCATTGTCACCTACAACAAAGAAATTGTCGGCAACCATCGCAAGTTAAGAAATTAAAAGAGAAAAGGAAAACCTGCTTAAACGGCTTGCTGTGGCTCACATTCTTGAATCCCTGGAGAGAAAGTTCATAATCTAAGAAAGTTTTCAGCACTTACAATAAGCGTACCAGGCTTTTGAAAAGATCGATAGATCGCACGTTTTCGTCTCCTATCTTTGCACGAAATATTTGAATGTTTAGATTTTTGCTAGCGAAGGCCATCATAATCTGGACTGCTTCTCTTCCAAATCCTTTCCTGCGGCTACAAAAATGATGGCCAGCTCGTGAGTTTCGAGATTTTGTTCTAGTCCTTACCTTCCATGCTCGGCGATCATGATCTCAATCTCTGCTACACTAGAATTCTCAACGTCGTTCATGTAGAGATTCACGTCTCCAATCATCGCTGGAAATTGAAGAACAAAAGAAACGAATGATTTAACACGGGAAAAAAATGAACTACAAACCATTTACAAAAGGAAGAGATGGAGCCAAATCGCCAGTGATGAGCTCTCTGTCCAAAACTATGAACGTACATTCTGGATCCCAAGGAAAAATGTGAGAAGAGAGGGGCAAAAATCGATCCACAAACTCTTTGGATCCGATGCCCAAGAGCCCTGCATTTCGTATTCTTCCTCGAGAGACAGCGGCTCGGAGCAAGTGAGCTCCAGAAGCTCGGGATTTTGCATCCAGGAGTGATACCTGGGGACGTGATCGCGCTGATAGGGCACAAGAGCAACGCGATCGCCTCGCAGCGCCACGCGCTTCCACCATCGCTCCTCCATCACGACCTAGAAAATTTAGGGTTTAACGTATAGAATAAGGCTTTAGGCCGAATATTCTCAAGTCGTGTTCTTTCGTCACAGCGCAAGAGAATGGACCGGGTCTGGCATCGCGGAGCTAGGGTTCTACAATGCCCAGAGGAAGAAGTTTTCCATTCTTCCGTGCTACCGCTCGACGATCGATCAACGCCATGGCCGATCCAGCTCCCCAGAGAGGTACTTGTAGTCTAGCAGCGATATTTCTAGCGATTCTATGCACGCGCGCGTCGTGCCAGCAGCAGGTGCTGGAGCAAAAACAGTTTCCCCGGGTGATTCCCGGCGATCCAAGGGGTCTTGAGGGCCAGGCAGTGGAATTTGATGGCTACACGGCACCCAATCTTTCACTGCTCAACGTAGCGCAGTATAGCCTGGCGTTTGTGAATCACTCGTCGGGGCTCTTCACTCTCGCCATTGTGACAAACTCCAGCGCTGGTTCATTGGCTAGAATCATCTGGGAAGCGAACCAAGACGATCCAGTGAGTGCGAATGCAACGCTTGGCTTCGAGGGCGATGGCGGCCTTGCGTTGCGAGACTCTGGCGGAAGATTGGTATGGACTACTGGACCGCTGAATGGATTTTCTACGACGCTCGAGTTGCAAGAGACAGGGAACTTGACGGTTCGAAACATCGACAACGAAGTCTTGTGGCAGAGTTTTGGCAGTCCGACCGACACACTCGTGCTCCAACAGCCTCTTTCGCCGGGAATGAGACTGGAGAGCCGCCGAAGCAGCACGAATTCTTCTTCGGGGACTTACAGCTTGGTGATGGAAGCCGGGGGACTTGTGCTCTACTCCAACTTTTCGGGACTGCAGGAACCTTACTGGATCAGGGGGTACGATGGACTTGAAACTCTAGCAGCGGCTACTACGAACGCCTGCGAGTCCTTGACAGCAGCTCTTGCCAGAAACGAGAGCTCGTCAGCTCTAACTTTCACGTTTCGGTGTGGGAGCAACGAAACGCTGATCATACCTCTCCAGGTGGCTGGCGAAAACGGAAGTTTCATACGCCTCGAAGCTGATGGGAATTTGCAAGCTTACACGCTGGGAAGTTCTGGAAACTGGACCGAGTCGCAGAAACTCTTTGATCAGGCTGGTAGCTGTGGGCTTCCCGAGAGATGTCAACCATTTGGAATCTGCTCCAACGGGTCATGCGTCGAGTGCTTGAGCGCGACTGGGACGAGAGTTCCTTGGAGCAACAGCTGCTCAGCTCCTGTCATTGATTCATGCGGTAACTCCAGCTCTCTCGATTTTGTTTCACTGCCAGGGATCGAGCATTTCTCACACAGGTACCTCAATGGTTCTTCACTCAGCTTTCAGCTTTGCCGCAGCCAGTGCCTGCAAAACTGCTCGTGCTCGGCGTTTTTCTTCTGGGAAGAATCCAGCTCCTGCTTTCTGATGGATAGCCTTCGTACGCTTCAAGCCGTGCCCAACCATCGCCACGTTGCATACGTGAAAGTAGCGGCCACGAACACCACGAACGATGTCTTGCCTGTTCCAGCCACAGGATCGAAGCTTTCAGCTGGTGCCACTGCGGGGATCGTAGTTGGCAGCTTCTTTCTACTTCTGGTGGCCCTCCTGCCCATCATTTTGTGCATATCGAGAAAGCGGTCCAAGCAAGTGGAGGCTGTAGTCTACGACAGCGACAACTATCTCGAGACGATAGAGAACTTGAAACCAATGAGGTTCTGTCGAGCGGACTTGGAACGGATCACTGACAACTTCAGCAAGCTTATCGGAACTGGAAGCTTTGGAAGTGTGTACGAAGGTGTTCTTCCCGAGGGCAGGAAAGTGGCAGTCAAGAGGCTCGAAAGCACAGGACAGGGGAAGCGGAAGATCTTTGCTGAAGTTGCGGTGCTAGGAACGTTTCATCACTGGAACTTGGTGAGGCTACTCGGTTTTTGCGATCAAGGATGTCACGGGTTTATCATCTACGAGCATATTGGAAATGGTTCGCTGGACAGATGGATCTATCGTGACAACGGGGAAAACGTCTTGGACTGGGAACTGAGGATGGGAATCGTGATGGGAATAGCACGAGGATTGGCTTACTTGCACGAAGAATGCATGGAAGTTCATCTCAACTTGAAGCCTCAAAACGTGTTACTCGACTCTTCGTTCGTTCCCAAGCTTTCCGGCTACGGAGTCTCCAGGATCATGGCTCGAGAATCCCAGAGCTCAGCAGCTAAAACAGGTCTGGAGAGCTATCACCCACCAGAGTGGCTTCTCGACACCTCCATTACCGAGAAGTGCGACGTTTACAGCTTTGGAATTCTACTCTTGGAGATTATCAGCGGGAAAAGAAGCTCCAACAGCGACAAGTTTTATCTTCCGGCCCATGCATTGGATCTCACAAGGCAAGGCAGGCAAATGGAACTTGTGGACACGAGGATCGTCAAGGACTCGAGCGAGTCTAAAGTTCGTCAGGGTGTAAGTATTGCTTTCCAGTGCTTACAGGAAGATCCAAGATCCAGGCCGTCCATGGGGGACGTTGTCCAGATGCTCCAAGGCTCCTGTGAGATTCCAGAAGTTCCCAGGAACAGCGCTTTCTTCTGGCTCAAGGACAACGAAACTCGCTACTCGGAAGCTCACTCGCTGTTGATGGGCTTAAAGCACTCGATCGACTAGGAGAGGAATGTGTAAAAAACTTTTTCTAATTGACGCAAAGAACAAGCCTTGGACAAGAACAGTGCTAGCACCATGCTCGCAGCAGCGACAGGGATGCAGTCTGGAAACTCCGGCTCCAGCAGCAATCCGAGGATCAACCACGTCCCTTTCCTTCATAGCGAAGCAGCCAGTGATCTTGGCTGAAGGTTTCAAGACCGTGCACAACGTAAATGAGATAAGTTGACTTATACTTCGAATTACTAGCCACCGTTCACTGTAACTTACAGCAAGTTTACCTTTCCCTTTATTTTACCTTTTTGTGTTATTAAATTATGAAATATTTTAGGGTTTTAATCAGGCTGATATTGCTACAAAATCTGGGTAGTTTGGATTGTGATAAGGCACGATTAGTAAAATTGCATGCACTGTTTTTCACATAGAAATGAAGATGATTACTGGTTTTCCAAAAAACATGAAATGCTTCAATTAAACATTCAGAAAGAATAATGGACAACCAAATTTGTACTTCATGCCGTACCCATCCCCATTGTGCTCATTCCTTATACTAGGGTTTCAATTTTTCCTTAGCAGTGTGAGCAAGCGCACACTAGTGCATAAGAGTAGTGGTAAATTAATGTTGGGTGTTTTTTGGTTTATCTAAGTTGTGTATCTTTATTTTCTTAGCCACTCCTCACCCATGGTTGACTATGAAACCACTATTATAGCTCCATGTCCATATGCTGTCTCTTTTATTGAGATAATTCAAAGAACTAGCCTCTAGGATGTGATCTCTAACTAAGTTTTGGCATACAAAGGACCTCATCACTATAAAAACTTATAAACTATACTATATATAAGTCTATGTCATTTATAATAATTAACATAGTGTCACCACAGCCTTAACTGTGTAACTGGAAACTTGGAGGTTGGCTCTAGAGATTTGATGACCATGCAACTTCCCTTGAGGAACAAAAAACTTGCACTTTGCTGAATTGAGTTGGATGCTGTAAAAATGACATAATTGGAAAATGGTTTGCAGATCCTCAATCAAGTTGTCAGGAAGTTCCCTAAACCCTAAACTAGAATTTGTATTAAATAAGAATAATTGGAAATATAATGGATTTTCTAAGGTATATAGAAAAAATATTTTATGTTTATTTCGTATATAAATATTTGATTTGATAAGAACTAAGAGGAGACAATAATTAGAAAATGATAAACCTCTGCCAAGAGTAGATATAGTTTCTAACTAAGATGATAACATAGTAAGTAGAACAACTCAAAGGGTGGCTAAGAGATTAGAAGTTTTGCTAAAGTGTGCTACAATGTTTAAAGTTTCTTTCTTAGTAAGATCCCACTTGTGCTTTTTAGGTATGTGTGTTAAATGTGTGTTTGTAGTGAACAGATTTAAAATTGTAGTCATAGTGTATGGATCATAGCAAAGTAAAAATTATGTTTTTTTATGTTTAGTTAATAAAGAGTTAGGTATATGCAATTGTAAATATATTTGAGTTCTATTACGCAAGCATGTTTATGCATTACATAATATCATAAATAAGTTATTTCTTGTTATCATCAATCTTTATATGCAGATCTACATAGCTGAAGAAAGTCACATCATCTTGGAACTAAATATATTTGAACTAAATGTAGAACCAAAAGCTCTGCTGGTATTTATATGGCAACTAGGTACTTAGATGAGGTATTGAATCTCAAAGTATGACTTGAGTTCCACTCCATTTTCTGGCTTTTAAAGTAATCTGTGCCTTAACTATTGTGTTTAACAACAGATTTAGGAAGAACTACACTATTAAAGTCTATTCCTATAGTTAGTCGCACAGCAATCTAGTGGTACAAATGATAGTCTTTTAAACTCAAAGAGTGATCAAGTGATTACTATACCTCTTTGTGAACTTATTGAGAAAGCAGTGTGAATCATCTGTTGCGACAATGTTCGAGAAAAGAAAAAAAAAAAAGCGAACTTGTATATAAAAAAAACTCATTTTTACAGTAAAAACTGTGTTCGTCAGCTTTTTACCTGACTCGAGACACTGAATTCTCGCCTCACTGCAAACAAAACCACCGGTTCTCTCAATCCCAATCACCGAAAAACTCAAAACAATCCATTTTTCTCTTGTTTTCGTTTTCCACGGCATTGTCAGTGATGGCTGCGTCGAGCAAAGTAGTCACAGCAAGCTTCCAGAAAAGGGAAATTCCATTCCATTCCTTCTGGAGACAAAGATCTCCACAGCCAAAGTAAAACAAACAAACACTTCCGAAATCCCCGTACGAGAAAAAGACTAGTTTCGTCCTCCAGTGAAGAAAGAGAAAAAAAGAAGAGAACGATCGATCCAATCATAGCTTCTCTTGGGAACGAACAGGAGAACTAAAATCTCACTCCTAGAGCTCGATCGCTCAATCAATCGATCAATCAATCAATCAGAGAATGCGAGGAGAAAACCCAGATCGATTCGTTCCATCAGTGACCAGTGATCTCCTCTGCCGATGATCGGTGATGGTGTTTGTCTCTACCCATTAACCATTGCAGCGTTCTCCTCGCAATCGACACGGTGGTCATTGATGATGTCGCAGAGCCCGTACTCTTCATCTCCGCGTTCGTACTACACACCGACGCCTGGTCCCAACTGCATACCGCCGCGGTACCACCGGTACCGCCAGCGGTACTACCCTGCTGCTCGTGCGAGCTTCCCCTGTTCTTCCACCACCACACCGCCGGCTGCTGCGGCTCCTCGTGCTGCTGCTGCCCTTGATCCACATTCAGCCGGAACGAGAAGGATTTCACCTTGTCCGAATCGAAGCTCTTATCGCCTACGCTGCTGGGCGCCTTGGAGTTCCTCCTCCACGGCGCCCAGCTCAGGAACGATGACGCCCGCGACGTACCGCCGGCCGCTAGCATTGGTCGCGGATCAATGTCGATGGTGACCCACGGACTGCCGCCCTCGCGCTCGGGTATACACTCGGACAGTGCCGCGCGGTGCCCGGGCGTACCGCGCGGCGGCGGCGGCCACTTTCTGTGCATGGGCGTCGGCGCAATCACCACCAGTGCGACTTGCTGCTGCTCTCCTCCTCCCGCGCCGCCAGTGGATGGATCCAGGACGTATTCGTAGGATCCCATGGAGTAGGATCGCCGGCTCAGCGCCGCGGTCTCGGAGGGCGCTGCCGATTCTTCTCCCGAGTTTGCTGCCGCTGGGCAGAAGCGCCCGAGCTTGACTGGCACCACTCGCAGCGATTCCTGGCGGCCGCCCGCGAGATCTAGCGATCCTCCCACGCCTCCCTCCTCGGCCATGGAGGACTCGGCCCCAAAGCTGGCGGCGCTGACGCTGCTACTGGCGCCGAAGGACTCGACCCTCATACCGCCCAGTACCGCCGCGGTACAGCCTGAGCTGGAGGCGTCGGGCACGAGGCTGCAGCGGCACAGCGGGCAAGTGGAGTGGGACAGCAGCCAAGTGTCGATGCATTCGATGTGGAAGGCGTGGCTGCACTTGGGGAGGAGGCGCAAACGATCGTCGCCGGAAAACTCGTTGAGGCATACCGCGCAGTCCGCCCCCTCCTTGAGGCCGCGTACCGCGCGGTACAGGAAGACGGGCAGCGCGTCGATGAATGCCTGCTCTACGCCCGAGTCGTGGAGGTGGAAGAGGTGCTGGAGCTGGCCCTGGAGCGAGTTGAGCGACCCACTGCTGTTGTTCCGCCGCGAGAGGCCATTGTTGGTGGATGCCGATGGGCGAGCGAAGCAGCGCGCGAGGAGATGGAGGAATCCCGAGAGGAAGAACACCACCGTGATGAGAACGATGATGACGACGACACTGGGGCTGAGCTGCGGCGTGCCGCTGGCGGCGCCGGCGGTACCGCCCGCGGTACCCGCGCCGGAAGGGCTGCTCGTCTCTGGATCGAGGTCCCGGATGCTGAAGGAGAGTGGCATGACTGGCGACGCATGAATCGACCCAGATGGGCGAATCGAGAGAGGAGACTACCCAACAGCGCGATTCCAGTGAAGATCACAGCTTCTCACCGGCATTTCGATCTTCTGGAGCGAATTCCCCCCTTTTCCATCCTACCCAGTGGGGAGAAACCAATCAAGCTAGCGTAGATCTATCCCAGCCTACCAATGTCGATCGGATCGATCTAGCGCGTGCTCCTCCTGGGAATTCTGGTTGCGGCATTGCGATCCATCCAATCCAGTGATGCATTCAACCCAGCTGCTGGCTGGAATCTCTGGCCACAGTAGGTGGGTTTGTTGTAGAACATTCATTGCCCTCCCCTGCAAATCTGGAAACAAACAAAAAGAAATTTCTTCCTGTGAGAGGGCAAAAATCTCTCCTTCACTCCTCCATCGCCCTCTCTCAATCTCGCTCGCTCGCTCGCTCGAATTGACCAGTAGGAGAAAGAACGAGACGAGAGAGAGAGAAAGCTTTAATTCGAGCAGAGCATGCGATTTTAGGGCAGGGCTCCCACGTCGTCGTGGAGTTCGACGTGGCGCGCGGTGGATGCCACGTGGCGGGTTTGGCGGGCAGTCGTGTCACTGCAATTCAAAAAAACAGGAGGGTGCTTTCAGTTCAGACATGAAGAGCATTCAATGCAAACGCTGCCTTTCCCAAAAAATCATAAAATAAAGATTTAAAAGCAACGTTTTGTTTGATCGTTGGTGAGTACCTAAGTTGTCAAATCCTTGCTTAGAATCTGGGAATTTATTTTGATGACATGAGCAAAAATTCGGAGCTCAATCTTCCCAAGACTTTTCCAAATGCCAGAGTGAGGTGATCATTGGATACCCAAAGCAATTTTACTAGTACTACGGTAGAAATTAAGAACCGAGGTTTTTTCTGTTTATTCCCACAAGTTCCTCGTTTCTTGCCCTTTGTTCGCAACGCTAGACAAGGAGTGATTTTTGGAGGGAAGTTTGCAACTCCAAGCCACTTGATTGATTTAACCAGACAAGAACTATCTCTTTGCTTAGAATATGGTCATCTTTGCCTTAACGAATATTCCTAGAATATCCAGCTATAGTTTAGGAACAAAATTTCATACTTTAATTCTTTTATAATCCTGTTTTATACTAATTTACAAGAATTATATACCTCAATTTTATTTCATGCTTCTACACCATACCACGATTTATAGCCCCAAAAGTATATATGGTTTCCATAGAGATTTTAGAAAAACTAAAGGTGAAAAGGATATATCACAAATATCCAAGTCTATACCTCAATCTAATTATTGATTTTCTTAGTTAGTTAGATAACCACCTAATAAACACCAAAAGCCATTCCGGTTATTAAGTGGTTATTCCATTTTTCCCTGAAAATGGCAGGTAGGCAGCAGATTTCTCCATTATACATGGTAGGTTTTAATTTGTATACCTAAGAAAGTTTTAAGATAACTGAGCAAAATGCCTAATTAAGTAAATAAGGAGAGCCCTAGTTTTAGTGAGAATATTACTATCAAATCAATGTAAAATACTTCTCTATAGTTATTTGTATTGAATAATTTCTCTCAAATATTCCCAGAAAACTCTATGCCTATGATAATATAAATTTTATTCTAATTATATAATATAAAATATACAACTTATTTATAATGCTAAATTTATAGCTTGTATTAATTAAAATCTTGTTTTTTTTTTCATTTGTGCAACTTCTTTTGTTCATATTATTAAGGACAGAATGTAAATATTCTTGATAGTTCTTAGGGTAATCATTCAAAAGTGACATGATAGTTTTAAGAAGAATCATTTATATTAATTATGTAATTACATTAGTATTTAAAGATAATTAGGTTACTTTATAATGTATTATCTATTCTCATTTTATTTCTTACTTATGGCTGGGAAAAATGTTCTATATATGATGAGTTTACTTTTTCTTTTTATATTAACTTTTATTTTTATAGCTAAAAGTGCACCACTAAAAACATGTGGTGAACATTGTGAAACAGATGATGAATGCAAGGATCAAATTGCATGTGTTGATAAAATTTGCCAAGATGATCCAGATATGGATACTAATCCTTGTCCAAATATAGGTAAGAAAATTTCACCACCTCCATTTGATACTTTATCTCCTCCTGATGAGGATTTAACTCCTCCCAATTTTAAATAAATGTAATGCTAAGAACCTTACCAAATAAAATAAAATAAAATAAAAATTATGTTATTCAAGTTAGTGTATTGATTAATGCATGTTGCTTTAGTCAATTTATATCAGATAACTTTTAAAAAATTCAAGGAATTTAAAATTGATTATTTTGTGAATTTTTTTTTTAAAATGTGTTAAATTATAATTTATTCCTAATAATAGTAATTTGTTAGCTAATTTAAGTTTTAGGTATATCTTGAATATATTCAAAAACACCTCAATCTAACAATTGTGATTTTTCCACTATGAAACCTTCTCTAATTCATTGATAATCACTTAGTTAATAATATTATAATTATTTTTTAAATTTCCTCTCAATTCTCAATTTAGGACCAACCACCCTTCTGATCTTATAAATTTAGCAAACTCTAAAAGTTTATTATGTTAGTTTCATATATTAGTTCTTTGTTAGCTATAGTTTTATTAATTTTAATACAAGTTTTTATAATAAGAAATTTTGTTATGGGAATAGCAATATTAATTAGGGTTAGACCCCTTATCATATACATGAACCAAATTTAGTTTAAATGAATAATTTGTGAGACACAAATCCCTAAGCCCTAAAGTGGAGCAGAAAAAGCACCATATTTTAGTAGTCAAAGCAAAAGTCTAATAAATGTAATATGTTTAGACCAAAGGCTCTAACTTAAAAAGTTGAGAATAGAAGTGAAATCCCAAAATAAGTGCCCAAGGAATGAGCTTCTAAAAAGGGACACAAGAAGGACTAACACATGGCAAGTGTCATGATACATGGAAATGTCAAAAACAAAGAGTCCGAAAAGGAATCCAAGATACAGTGCAAAAAAGAGTTCAAGATGGAGTCCAAAAAGGAATTTGAGATGGAGTTTGAGAAAGAGTTTGAGATGGAGTTCGATATAAACCCCAGATGGAGTTTGATATGGACTTAGAGTCCGAGACCAAGTCTGAGTTCGAGTTCGAGTCGAGTCTGAGTCCAAAGGGTGAAAGCCTAAAGTGATTGTCTCCCAAACCCTAGTGTGGCGAATTTGACTTCAGGTATCAAAAGTTACCTGTTGGCCAATCCTTATGGACACTCTTTTCTTACTGCCATGACAGTAGGAGGTAAGTATTGCTAGACCCTTTATCAGTCCCTCTTGTGCTAGTGGAGTTAAGTGGGCATTTCGAGTGTACTTAGACCGGACGAGCATAAGGACAGAATTCCTACGTGCTATTAGCTAAACACATTTAGCCCGATAAGGAGTTTCTGTCTCATTGTGTCTTGCACTGGCTAGTGATAATAACCCTCCTATATTGAGACTAGTCCCTCAATATTGCTGGATAATAGCTTACTATGTCTGCCAAACACCCTTACTATTATGCCCTTTGTGTTAGTTTTATTTCGGTCCTAAATTCTATTTGTGGAAAGTGTCCAGATTTGCTCATTTGGCATATCTACAGAATGTAAAGATTGTCTTGAACACAATGGTGTTCATCCCGTGTCCAAATTCACAATCTAAGGATATTCCATATTTAGTAAATTTCAAGCTTGTCCCAGAGACTAACTCCTAATACTAAGGGATGCTTGAAGTGAAAGCCCAAAGCGTGTGTTCCTCAAGGGGGGGGGGGGATGTGGGATAGTAGGGATAGTGGGTAGGTCAGGCATGCCTGACCAATTGAAGGCATAGTCTAGTTCCCATTTGTGTGCTTGTCCTTGTTCTATGTCCGACTTGGGCCTAAGCCCAAGTTCCATTCCATACTAGCTGGTGGAGTACCCATGTCCTTGCATTAGGCCAGAGATATGCCGAAATAGCGCCAGACTCCGTTTGGCTTCGTTTGGTTATCAAAATTGGGGAAGTAATTCTCAAGTGTTCAAAAAAATGGCTTTGAACAAAAGTTAATGGTTGAGGACTTACATGCTTATGCATTAAACCATATTACGCTCGTCAGGTGACTTGCTAAGCGAGATTAACAAGTCAGGGGAGCAAAGACTTTAGTTAAAGGTATTGGCTCCAAAAGGGATGGCCCATGGGGCTAAATATACATGATCATAGACTTGTTAAATGAGAGGATTTGGCAGTTTGAAGAAACTAAGTTCCTAAACTATGATCTATAGTGCACATTAAGTATAAATTGGTGCATTGGCGTAAGGAGTCACGCCAAACATTCTTAGTGATACTACTTGTAGATGCATATACGAAAGTTGGGTTTGAGTCATAACTTTGTAATGCTTGGGTTTGAGTCCCAACTCACTAAGGGCATGGTGATGGTTTGAAATATGAAGACACTTATTTTTTAGTGGTTATAGACTCTCAATAAGGAGATTGGTTTGAGCACACTACCAAGTGGGGGATGCCTTGAAGTCGTGATGCACAGTTAAATTGTTTAGTGTGAAAGCTTGGCATATCTAACTTGAATAACTTTGGTGCAAGTGGCATCAAGGACATAGATGAAATAAAGACACCCAATCTCAGTTGTCATGGACCCTTAGCCAAAAGGGTTGGCTTGGGTGCATTGCTAAGTGTGGGGGATGCCCCTAGGGTCATGGTTAACAACTTAAAAGTTTGGAAAACGTAATATTGATTAGCAAATCTATTAAAGTGTTAAGATGAGATCACTAAGTGATTTTATGGTTAAACAAGGATAAAGCCCTTGTGACATTAAGGAATAATGTTCCTAGTTCAAATTATTGATTTAAACTATTGGTAATAATATAACTTGGTCAAGGTGACCAAGTGGAAAGGACACCTAAGAGAAATGAGTTATAGCAATACAATAGTATTGTGAGTCCAAGAAAATAGTCTCTAAAGAAAGACCTATACATAAGTCGCAAAATTGGCCCGTGGATAGAGCCCACAACAGATAATGCTGGAAAAAATTACTAAGGGTGAACACCTTTTGGACTTAGTGAAACAAAGCTTTTACTACGAAACCAAAAAGATATCACG